ACCCAAACTGCAACACAAAATCAGGTCATTATTTCAAAGTCTGAACACTGCAATTAAAACCCAAATACTGAGGTTTTAAGTTTAGAAAAAAACACAACTGCCCCTGCACTGCAAGGGTTAAATGCTTGTGTTTCGCCCCCCCCCCATGGGTGGTAAAAAGGTAAAGGTAAAGGTTCCCCTTGACAATTTTTGTCCAGTTGTGTCCGACTCTAGGGGGTGGTGCTCATCCCCGTTTCCAAGCCATAGAGCCTGCATTTTGTCCGAAAACAATCTTCCGTGGTCACATGGCCAGTGCGACTTAGACACGGAACGCTGTTACCTTCCCACCGAGGTGGTCCCTATTTATCTACTTGCATTTGCATGCTTTCGAACCGCTAGGTTGGCAGGTGCTGGGACAAGCGATGGGAGCTCACTCCGTCGCGTGGATTCGATCTTACGATTGCTTGGTCTGCTGACCCTGCAGCACAGGCTTCTGCGGTTTAGCCCACAGTGCCACCACGTCCCTGCCATGGGTGGTATTAACAATAAATACTTACCAGTCCTCCAATCCGCCATAGGGCTAGACCAGTAATGGTCACCATTGCACCCCTCTGCTGGACCACTGCACCAGCAGAGGGGAGTGACAAAATCCAGGATCAGAGGACGGGTAAGTATTTCTCGATGACGATGGATCACTCGTGTGCCCACAGAGAAGGCTCTGTGTGCCAGCTGCGGCACGCATGCCATAGGTTCGCCATCGCTGTTCTAAGCTGTCTGGAAGGCTCATTCATTCCGACAGATAATTCCCATTATCTGTGGCTCCTGAGAGTTCTCAGTTTGCCCCCCTCTGGCTTCTGCATGTTTGGTAAAGCCTGGAGCATCTAACCTTCCTGAAATACAGTTTCCGTAAAAAAAAACTGTTGAGAATTTGTAATATTTTGCTATGGAGCTGCAGTGGATTTGGAGGAACATGGTTTAGCAGTGGAACTCCCACCATGATGGCGTACGGCAGTGGTTCCAACTTTGGGTCCCATGGATGTTCTTGGACTAAAACTTCCAAAAGCTTTCACCACTTGATGTGCTGGCCAGGATTTCTGGGAGTTGCCGTCAAAATGACAAGAAACTATCTTTAGAGCTGTGCTGGCCAGTATTTCTGGGAGTTGCCGTGAAAATGACAAGAAACTATCTTTAGGGGAATTACATTTGAACTTCAGACTCCAGGAATCATTGGGAGGGAGCCATGCTACTTAAAGCTGTGTCAGAGTGCCGTAACAGTGTAATGAAGATGCTCAAAAGAGTGTGTCCAACAGAGGCATTGTTAAAATTTCATATAACACTGTAGCAAATTTAGGATTCCTCTTTCAAGTGACATTTGAAGGCGTTTCAGGAGCAGCCACCCCGACAACGACACACCAAAATTTGGATGGAGGGGAACATATGGCCCTTCCAGGGATCAGCCCCCCCCCCGTAAGACAGTGGTTCCCCACTTTGGTTAACCCAGGTGTTCCTGAACTGCAATTCCCAGAAGCTTTCAGCACTACCTGTGCTGACCAGGGCTTCTGGGAATTGCACTCCAAGGACACCTGGGTTACTTAAGGTTGGGAACAACTGCTGTAAATCATAGCCTGCTTGATAAACCGTAAGATACAACGTTGGTAGAGCATGGAAGAGCTAGTTTTTTGGACAACGGCTTCCAGAAACCCCTATTGGTCTGGCTGTCTGGGAGATTCTTGGTGCTGGAGTCCAAAAAATAACTTTCTCAAGGTGTTTGCTCATGCGGAAGTGAAGGGCTGAAGGTTTCCTACCTCCCCCTCGAGCTTAAACAGGAGGCAAGTTCCTGCTGAGATACGCCGTCCGAGAAATTCTAAGAGCAGACAACAGAAAGGACATTTGTATGCAGCCATAACTGCATACAAATGTCAAATTCGGGATGTGTTGGCGCTGCGGGTTAAACCGCAGAAGCCTCTGTGTTACAAGGTCAGAAGACCAGCAGTCGTAAGATTGAATCCACACAATGGAGTGAGCTCCCCTCCCTTTGTCCCAGCTCCTGCCAACCTAGCAGTTCAGAAGCAGGAAAATGCGAGTAGATAAATAGGTACCACCTCGGTGGGAAGGTAACAGCGTTCCGTGTCTAAGTCGCACTGGCCACGTGACCATGGAAGATTGTCTTCGGACAACTGCTGGCTCTGCGGCTTGGAAACGGGGATGAGCACCGCCCCCTAGAGTCGAACACGACTGGACAAAAATTGTCAAGGGGAACCTTTACCTTTACCTATAACTGCACAGAAACCCAGATTTTGGCAAGGAAATCCCATCTGTCTGTGATATTTTTGTGGATGGAACTAAGAAGGAAGATGGACAGGCATTTAATGAAAACAGAATGATAGGAAAAGAGGTTCACATTTTCTAAGCTTGCCCTCTCCTTTGTTACCGTCATAAAGTCCGGAGAACAACACTCACAACTTGAATGCAATAACATTATAATTGCATGCAATTTTATACATTAGTCATTCACATGCTATATTCAGCGGCCTTTGTACTCTGACTTTTTCTCTCATATTGTGTCATCCTTTGGCACTTTTTATAATGTTTATCCATTTATTTCTATCAGGGACAATTGTAACACAGTTGATTCCTCACAGTTCTTAGGAGTTTGGGAAAGTGGGTTTTTTCCCCCCCAATAACTTCCCCCATATCCTCTAGCCACCAGGACTGCACAGGGTATACCCGCAGGAGAAATCTGGCGGTCAAAATCAATCTACTAGCAATGTGGGATTATGCAAAATTGATGCTACAATACGTGATCCTGAGGGCAGACAAAGCAGATTCAGTCTACGTTCCCAAGTTTATTAAAGGTTCAGTAGGATTCTCTAACACTTAATTAGTTAATACTTTAGCTAAAAAAAGTAATTAATACCTATGGGGGAAATCTAGCCAGGGAGATATCTCAGAGTAACTTCTAATTATTAATGCTGACAGCCAAGAATTCAAATCAAATCAGCACAGCCTCCATTTTTGTTTCTGAAATTCCTTCTGCACCATCTCCAAAGAAGAGACAGCAATGAAATTTCCTGCAACATCTTGCTGTTCTGTATATTTTTTAAAAAATTAAATTCTCTATTTTATCTGATAATTCACATTTAAACCACTCATAAGATTTTCTGTTCTATTTGCAACATCTACTGATTCAGCTTATACCGTAGGAGCCTCGTATCTATGGGGGACTGGTTCTAAGTCCTCCCCCGACAGATGCTGGAAAATGCAGATTATGGTGAAGGCCATTTTAATAACAAGCCCTATACAGTGGTGCCTCGCATAACGAGTGCACCGTTTAACGACGAATCTGCATAGTGATCTATTTTTTGGGATTGCACCATCTCCAAAGAAGAGACAGCAATGAAATTTCCTGCAACATCTTGCTGTTCTGTATATTTTTTAAAAAATTAAATTCTCTATTTTATCTGATAATTCACATTTAAACCACTCATAAGATTTTCTGTTCTATTTGCAACATCTACTGATTCAGCTTATTCCATAGGACCCTCGTATCTTTGGGGGACTGGTTCTAAGCCCTCCCCCCGACACATACTGAAAAATGCAGATTATAGTGAAGGCTATTTTTAATAACAAGCCCTATACATAGCATGGTCTCTGGCTTCCTCTAGTGGCCAGTTCTGGTAACTTCATCTTTAAAATATATATTTCTAGAAATTTTAAGAAAATATTTTTCATATTTTCAGTCTGTGGATAAGTGAATCAGCGGATACTGATTCTACAGATGCGGGGGTCCTACTGTATCACAATTCTGCCTACACTAGGAAGAGTTGTATTTGGCCTGATTCTGGAGTGGTGATGCAAATCTATGCACGGTCCTGGACTTCTGGAACAATCTTAATCAATTGATCTTACTGCTTCCCCATCTGTTAGATGGAGGCACTCATCATTCATATCATAAAAGTGTTGTCAGTAGAAAAAAGGACAAGCAATTAAAAAAAGAAATACTGTATTATTAATGTTAATGTAATGCAACCTTTTGGGAAGTTTTTTTTTACAAGGCCCATTGAATAAGTTCACATTTAATAAAGGTCAGGCACATCCAAACATTATGAAATTGACTCAGAAAAAAAGACCCTTACACTAAAAGCAAGTTGGCTCAGTAAAAGTTAATAATAATAATAAAAATAAAAAATTTAAATTTAGGTTACAGTCTGGTACAGTTCCTTGGAGGAACAGAATTTCTGATGCAAATATGGAGTCATGTTTGCAGTGGCTGTCCCATTCATTTCTATGGGAGGGAGTTGTATGTTAAGACCCGTAAAAACACATATAATCTCTGGCTTTGCTCCAGGGTTCTTTGAATTTCAGTTTCTTTTCCTGAAGGTACAGAGTGCCTTGATGTTATGAGAAGCATGAGTTGAGTGTATTAATAAATTCACTTTTTTTCACACCGAATTGAATGGGCATGGCTGCAAAACTAGAAACCCTACCTGTGTGTGACAGTGAGCATGGAAACTTGAAGTATGAAAGCAGGAACACAATAGTTGTAGGCCAGAAGTATAACAGAACTGTAATTTCATTTAGTCCTGATTTTGCTACAGTACCCCTGGATGTACCTTCATTAACTCTTTCTCCTTTGGTCAAGAAAGTGGTCATCCAAATTTCCATTATGGGTTGATTCTAGGCCAGCTCTGCTACTAGTGGGGATGACTGAAATCAGCTTTCCAGGCCCAGTTGGACTAGGCCTTTGAAGTCAATGGGAACTTGGCCAGTCAACCAAATGGCCAATTAGAGTGGTGCCTTGCTAGACGATTGCCTCACAGGACAAAAAACCTGCAGGACGATTGTTTTTTGTGATCACTATGGTGCCTCACAAGACTTTTTTTTCCATGACCGTGCTTCGTGAGATGGTTTTTTTAGACCAATGGTTCGCAAGACATTTTTTTTAGACCGATGCTTCACAAGACTTTTTTGAGACTCAAGACTTTTTTTTTGAGACCGATGCATAGAGAACCTTGCAAGACAATTCTTTTCACAAGACGATTTTCGTGGAATGAATTAAAATCATCTTGCGAGGCACCACTGTATAATTGGAGTTCCAGCCCAAGGCAACAAGAACTTGTCTGGTTGCAAAAGACACCCATAACTGTTACATGCTTTAGAAGAGAGAGTGGGAAAGATGAAGGCTTTGATCCATGGGTGTTCTAGAGCAGCAGTTTCCAACCCAGAAACCCTGGACAGCATTGCCAGTGGTGGAAGCTTCCGGAAATTGCAGTCGAAGAACACCTGGATTACCCGAGGTTGGGAACCACTGTTCGAGAGAGATCCAATTACTGATTCAGCACAGAAAATGAAATAATAAATTCATCACTAACAGCACCACTTCAAGGCAAATTCTTATGTAATTTGTTGATTACGAAGAGAGTAGAGACATTATGTACGCCTCTAACATTTTTCTCTCCCTCCCACTCACAATTTTAATATTTCTCTTGCTTTGTAATATTTAAGAGCAATCCTCAAAGATTTTGTTAGTGGTTTTTAAAAGAATGTACTGGGCTCAGGAGGATCAAGAAAGAAAGGTGGCAATTGAGAAAGAAAGAATATTGAAAACTCCGATGAAAAATACAGATTCTCAAGTAAAGAGAAGATGGCAAAAACTTCCTAAAAGCAATGATTTTGGCTAACTGTGGGGCATTATCCAATACATAATCCATGTCCCAGTCTGTGCTGCATTATGGAATAATCTACACCACAGAAAATGGCTACCAGTTTCACACAACACTTTAAAAATCTGATGATGACTTCCCTTCCATATTTTAAATCATTTCTACTGTTCTGTGGCACTGTGACATCATCTTGATTTGTGACGTAAAACTATGATGTCCCATCATCTCCCATTTTCTCCCTCCTGGGCCGGTAAAATCTGAAAAGATCAAGGGTATGTGCAAATTATGGATTAGATCATAAGATTCCTTTCCCACAAATTTCTTTTAACAAAAGGAGTCTTCTGTCCTCGAAATGATTCCCTTCACTAAAGGAAGCTTGTCTCTTCATGCAAGAAAGTGGGATGTAAATCTTTGCTGCCGTTCTTCTGACATGTGATAGCGAGCAATTTCAACAGTTAAATCCCCACTGTGTAAGATTACAATAATTTATGTGCATATTTTGCATTTCAAGATTTTTTTTCACAAAAATTGCACAAATGGAGGCATTGCACAAAACTTTGCATTTTATGCAAAAAGTATTTTCTACAAAAACTTTGCACACAAGGACATATTTTGCACAAAACAGGATGTGATTTTGTTTTGCTAACACTACCCTTGATGGGGGGAAAGGGAGCAGAGCTTTTCATTCTGTTTAGGAGTAAAAAATTAAACAGCATTCGTCAATTTTCCATTTGGAATACCTCAGTGTGTCAAGACACCATTTGTTTCTTTGACAACGGGAAAATTTTTCAAATGTTGACCACATCCTTAGTCTACAGCCTCTGCTTGCAGACACAGGATGTTTACATAAAATAATAAGTATGTGCAACTCCATTTCTATACCCTTCTTATGTGTGGCTATCAGACAGGTTCACTTAATATTAGGTCAAGATGGATTTTCACTGTACTCGAGTATGCCTACTCAAAGGTGAAACTCATCTGGATGCAGGGGGACATGGAAGGACCCCCTCCCCCAAAGAATGCAAGGATGGTGAACACATTTGGGGATCTCCTGGCACTTTTGGTTGATCCTTCCACACCAGGAGCACTTCCTGGGTTGATTCCGATATGTACAACGAAGAAGAAGAATCCGGATGCACTAGCAAATGTGAAAATCCCGAAGTGTTTACTTCATTTTTAAAAACCTGGACAAATTTAAAAGACCTTGCAACATTGTTATCTATTTTTTATATTTATATACTGCTTACCCGATTTTGACAGCCCTTTTCATGTGCCCTTCCAGCATAGCTATGCCCCTCTAACTGCATGTTCTTACGCAGACTATGCACATTATGATATCCTGATGTCATATTATAAACCAATCACAAAGCCGATTCAGAATGAGGATGTGGCTTCTTGCCGTCATTCTGAAATGGCTTTGTGATGGCGTCACAAGATTTCTAGATATAGCCATGTGATGATGTCAAGAAATCAAAGGAATAACAGAAAGTGCCGGTGAGACATCCATACTGTAAGCACCTTTGGACATGTTTTCTGGAGGCAAAAAATGGGAGGAGTTAAGTCCATCATCTTTTGGACAGATACTAGGAAAAAGATGACATGGAGCTTAGAGGTAAAAAAGTGACTGCAGATATTTTAAACCCAACCAGCAGTATCCTGCTGTGAAATGCATATCATAACTGCTCTGTGGACCTACCCGCCTGTCGGCGCTGCTCCATCTGCACATGGGCAAGCTAAACATCACACTACTACTTACAGCAACAAGGTTTCTGCATGCATGATGATATCAGGAATGCCTCCTTGTAGGAAAGGAGGACACCTGTAGCAGACACATGTGGGGGAAACCAACAGGATTCTCCTCTATATTTCCTATTAAGAGTCAAAATCCTTCTGGGACAATTCATTGCAATCTATCTCAGCCAGTGGTAAAAACTCCCATTGGCACAGTAAAAAGCTACACAACAGGATACCGGTCACTCTAAAAACACACACTCACTTTCTGAACCTACCAGCAGCCAACTACTGCAAACTCTCAGACATAAAAAAAAAAAAAAAATCTCAATGGATATCAAGCACAAATAAACTTTGAAGTGCAATATTTAATTAACAGGTCAGACTAAACTAATTTTTAATTGACTAAGAAGGCATCCCTGAATAAACTGGTCAACACACTGTAAAAACACATAGAATGTTCATTATTTCATTAATATAAGTACTTATAAAAATTGAAGCTAGATTGCCTCCGAGTAGACTCATTTTCCCTAAATGTCGGAGTTTCCTTAAACACATCAGAGGCAACATTGCTTCCAGGATGGCACTTCCAAGATGGCACATTAGTGCCATAAAACAACAACTTTTGGGAGAATTGGTTATTTATAAGCAAACTTGCATGATTTAATCAATTAATCAAATAAAGCTCCAGAAATCAGAGCAATTAACTCAGTTAGGTTTAATTGGTTAAATCTGCAAACATCTGCATATAAATAAAACAGCCAGTTACAAAAAAGATGGAAATGTATTTGTTTTTATTTAAGAGGAGTAACCACCATAAGATAATATTCAGCAAATATTCAAACATCCAAAGAATATGTGGGGAGTTTTCAAATATCCAAGGAGAAACTGGAGAACAATTTTCAGCAGATTTTTCTCTCTCTTTAGTTTGATGCTTATGTCATTGTGGAGAAAAACTCTTGGCACTGCTTTGTCCTTGGCTGAATAATTTTTCCCGCCCAAGCTCTGCTGAAAACTCCTTAACCAGGCCTCATAAGCAAACACTGCACATGGTCTTACTGGCAAGCTTGTGTCCCCAAACTCTGTTCCAGCTGCTCTTTCCTGCAATTCACAGGGCAGCCTCTGGTCTTGTGAGAGAGACACTTCACCTCAAAGTGGACAGGGGAGCCCCTCCAGGCTGCAAATATCACCACAAGTAAATCGTCACTCTTGCCCTAGAGCATCTCAGCAAATTGACTATGTTCAGACCTCTTGTTTAAAATGAATGGATAATCCCTGTGCTCTCGGCGGAGGGAGAGAGATAGGACAGATGGATCATGTTAGATTTCAGCAGAAATGGCTCAAAATCAGACTGCGGTGACCTGGACCAAGGACAATTACAATGATAAATGGAGGTTTGGGGAGATGAAGCTGTTTTACATTAAGCCAACGGACTAATCCATCTAGCCTAATTTTCTTGGCAGATGCTTTTCAGGGACTGAAACAAAGAGGTCTTTCCCAGCCTTTTAACAGGAGATACCAGGAACAGAATACGGAGCCATGTACATGCAAAACATGCGCTCTACCACTGACCTATAGCTCCACATGCACTCTACCACTGACATATATCTCCTTCCCCAAAATAAGAGTATCAGCTTTCACCAGAGCTTGGAAGTAACTCGTTCCAATATAAATAACAAGTTACTTGTAGTTAAACTCTTTTTTTCAATCACTATGAACATCTAAGTTCTAACTATAGGGCAATGGCCAGAATCCTGTTAGTTAGATGGTGTACATTCCAGCAGTGGGTTGCCATTAGTTTCTTGTTCCCTTCATTGCACGTTAGCAGATGCAACTGCCAGGAGTTGAGGATACACATAGTGATTCATTAACTAGCAGTAATTTAATGTTGCTGTTTCTACCACTACACTTACACCAGCACAACTAAGTCATCGGATTCTGGCCATAAAAGTTAACCTAACCTCTTTTGTGGCGTAAGCGAAATAGTTTTAGTTAATTCTACAGTTACAGGGAACGTGGTCTGACTACTTACATGAGTCTTCTATCACAAGTTAGCAGTTAGTATCATTCTGAAGTTTAAAACTACTAAACAGTGTGTATTTCGGTAACTTCGGAAAGCAAGAAAGATCCTTGATTCTAGTGGCAATTAAGTTTTTGGCTACCCTGGAATGGCACCTTTAACTAGTTCGTTTTAAAAAGCAACTTTCCAAGTTCAACTGTAAGTACAATGCATGGCCTTTGCGGTGTGTACCCTGGAATGTAAAAAAAAAAAGTAGGATGAAACAGAAACAAACCTTCCAAAACATCACAAAACTGGCTCAGGTTAGCTCTACAAAAAGCAGGACTGATCCTCTATCTTGTTTTAGGATCGAGGGAGGACGTGTCATTTTGATATCATGAGACCAGCTCAGAACTGTGGTTAGTTCAATACAAGCACGTGAGGGTGGGGCCAGGTTTACGACCAGGAGCAAGCTTGATGACCCCAACAGTCACTGTTCTTTACCTCAATCAACCTACATGGAAACAAAACGGGCAACTTATTTTTTTTCTTGTAAAAAATAAATATTTTGCTAAAAAGACATTCACATCTCTTTTTTTAAAAAAACACATTCCCCAATTTCTGACTACAAGCACTGCTACTTGTTTGGTTTTGTTTCCTTTGAAGGACAGAAAATTGGCACAGTTTGACTATTTTTTCAATGCTTCTTGGGAAAAAAGAATAATAATAAAAGAAAAGAATGGTTACTTGAGGCACCTTACAAGATCCAGCTTTGGAAACGAACGAACAAACACACAGTCCAAAGAAATAAATTTCCAGTTGCGTGGATGTCAGTCTTAAATCTGAACAACATGGAATATTCAGTACGATCACTGAAAGCCCTTTAGAACCCCAACCCTGTAATGCCCTGGAATTACACCCTTGGCAACGCCTGGCTGAGTTTTGCCATTTCGCTGAACAGCCTTCGCCAAGGACCACACAGAATGCTGCGCATAAGGACTTCCATTCTCCCATCCACCTCCAAGTTGTCAATGGTGCCTTTATTACTGGAGCAGTCCATGCAAATCCGTTAACAGATTGGATATGGGCCTTTGTTCTTCCCGTCTGTTCATTCTGCGGAACGTGAAATGGGGTCACCTCTCTTCAGACCTTTCCCAAGGTCTTTCCTCAAACAGCAGAGTGAAACATGGAGTCCTCACAATGTTCCAGCTGCATCCGCAACACGCCTCTTTTGTGAAGAAACCACAGCTGCAGGAATTCCTCCGGCATGGCATGGAATCCGGAATCTGGCAAGACGTTGTCATAATAATGATGACTGATGAACTTTCCATGCAGGTCCACGGAAAAAGGCCAGAAGCCATAAATCGTGACTTCTTCACACAAACCTAGGGCTGCGCTGACCAAGAAGAGGCCGGTTGACAGTCGCTTCCCATGAATCCCTTTGCTTTTCCAGAACTTTCCAATGTCACGCAGGAAGTTTGGGTTGGCAAAGATCACTGTCTGCCTAGCACCGACATCCGCTAGGGTGTAGTAAACCCGAAGAGAGGGTTCTGTCCCTGCTTTCATGGAGAAGGCTGGCATGTAGATGTAGCTCTGGTTGTAGACTTTGACACTATCCACAAAGGCTTTTCGAGACCAAAGAAGGTTCTGGAATCTGTTCAGGAACAGGAGAGGACAAGAAAACAAGTTAATGACTTGCCATCAATTCACCAATACTGGCAGCCATGGCATTTCAAGATCAAAGAATCTACAGCCTGTTCAAAGCTAGAATAAAAACAACTAGCAAATGTTCTGCCTTAAATTTGAAACCTTCATTTAGAAGCTTCCACATACTGGTAATTATAGCTGTATCATTCCTGTTTCACCGATTTGGTTCTCTTGCTCTCTTTTTCTTCCTTCCTTCCTCCCTTCCTCAGTGTTCTCCTTTTGATTGCTAGTTTGGTTTTAGCTTCCTCTTCTCCTTTCTCTGACTTTGTCTGACCTCATTTCACAAGAAAGGGAGTGCTCAGGTTTTCACAAATTTTTGTATTTTTATTAATAAACTCGAGTAATGGTTTTCATCAAACTGGAAATATGTCTTGTTTTCTGCAAAGTGTGTGGAGAGCTGATCCTCCTAATTCCCTTGTCTTTCTGTTGATTCTGGTAAGCTGAGTGACTGCCAATGGACTGCCATGGATCCCTGGCCTCTGCCTCTTTAATTCCTTTGCCAACCTGGTGACTGAATCTCCACAGATACCACGGAAACAAAAGGAGCTAGAAGTGCCAATGTGTCAGTAAATTCTGACATGCTGGTAAACAAATTCCAAGAAAACAGTTTTTCAGCAAGCACTAACCTCAGTTCAACAGAAGGGCATAAGAATAAGAAGTGAAGAAGTGAGAAAATGATGGCCCATAAGCAGCTAAGAACCTACATTGCACCTACGTGGTTTTAGACAAAAAATGTAGAAGTGAGTAAGAAAAATTACTTCACTCTTCCCAACTACAGTGGACCCTCTACTTAAGGAATTAATCCGTATTGGAATGGTGGCTGCAAGTCGAAAAGTCTGTAAGTCGAATCTCCATTGACCTACAATGCACTGAAAACTGATTAATCCCATAACCAGTGGTTTTTATTCTATTTTTATTCCATTTTGGGTTTTTTTCTGGTCTGTAAGTCGATTCTCTGGCTGCAAGTCGAATCTAAATTTTGCAGCCAGAGAAGTCTGTAACTCGAAAAGTCAGTAAGTCGAGCCATCTGTAAGTCGAGGGTCCACTGTACAGTAAAGACCACAGGGTCAATGATTTGAAGAACAACTTAGTAACCTTAACTGTTACCATCAAAATGGAGTGCATACGTGAATGGAAATTTCCAAGGATCCAGAAATAACGATTCACAAAGAGACACCAAGAAGGGGAAAGCCCCAGAAGCCTGATTCCTTTTTTCATCAGTTAACCACTTTTCACCTAAACACAAATGAATTGTTAAGGTTGTATTTCAACTAGAGAACATGCTAGTAAGTATAAGAGGGTATCTTGTGTAGACCATTTTGACTGCTGGCATCAGTGTCACCAAGATCCTGGTTGCCCTTTCCCTATATAAAGTTTTGGCATCCTTTTTCCTGGTAGCACAACATTCAATACCAGCTCCACATCTCTGAACCTATCAATCAGGACTCAAATGAATATTTAATTCTTTCCAGGCCAAACAAGGTTTTGTGCTTGCAAAGGAATTCTGTATCTGGCGGTAAAAAAAATACTTTAAAAGATGTTTAAAAGAGAAAAGAGAACAAATGTTCAGAATCTCACTTTGTAAAGCTGCGACATTACTGTTCTTTTGCTTTGTGACTGGGGATACTCTTACTCAATGTTGCGGAACTTGGGTGCATATCCTACCATAGTCTCAACCATTCCACCTCAACCATTGTCACTATACAGTTGTTTGTTAATTTTTTTTAAAAAAGCCAAAGATGTTACATGCTGTCGAGTCACTTCTGATGTGTGGTGCCTATATGAGTTACTGACTTCCATCATTAGCAGTCATTAGCAGCTCTGCTTAGATCTTGCAAACCCAAACCTGGCTTTCTTTATTGAGTCTCATGTTAAGTTATACTGTCTTCCTACTAACCCTCTCCCATCAATATTGCCTTCTTCAGTAAGTTCTGCTCTGCTCTTGCAAATTAACAGCTGTGGCTATCTTTATTGAGACAATCTATTTCATGTTAGGTCTTCCTCTCTTCCTACTCTCCTTCCCCTACTTTCCCCAGCACTATTGTCTTTTCTGGTCAGTTCTCTATTCTCATTATATGTACATGGTAGAATAAGCTCAAGTTTAGGCAGCCATAGTTTGCTTCTAGATTCTTTCCCATCACCCTATTTGTCCTGCATTAACATCTCCCTAACAATCTGGAATGCTGAACCTGTGACTTTCTGATCATGCAAAGTCAAGAAGCGTCATAAGCAAAGGATAAGAATTTTCCAGGAAGAGATTAGTGAAGCAGCGTTGCTGTTATGAATCAAATTTAGAAACACAGCTGGTTGGATGGTATGACTAAGAATGAATCTGTATAATGACTGGAAGTAACAAATGGATAATAAGAGGATTTGTGTGCAGGTGGGTGTGATGCATGGCTTCTTTGAAGCAATGTGCTTTTATACTTAAACTGTCTTCTATTTAAATGCAAATATTTACTGTGAGTTTTGTATCCATCCAGAGATTGGAGATGTTACACTTTGGGATTATATCCCCCCCTAAATCTACAACCAGTATGGCTGTACTGCAGATTCCTAGGAATTGTAGTTCATTTTTTTTGAGCTCTGGATCAGACAAAAAGCTCATCAAATGCAGAATGGTACCTGGCCCATCTGACAGACTGTCGTTTTGCTATTGCTTTCTTCTTCTTCAGAAACGGAAGAAGAAAGCAACATCAAAATTCAGTGTAGTGGTTTTGAATGAGGAGATTCTCTTCTGCTGCCATAGGAAATACGATAGACTCTTCTCCCTTTAAAAGAATGAGAAGACAACTGAGATTTGGAGCGACATATATGGAGGACCTAGAAGAGAATGTGACAGTGGAGAGTAACAAGACCACCATCATGGCATTCCTGATGACTAGGTTAGAGCCAGACAATAAAGAAAGCTGAAACATCACTTGAAATGTGGTGTTGGAGGTCTTTACAGGCTGCTGGAAAGACAAGTAAGTGGACTGTAGATCAAATCAACCCTAGAAGCAAAAATCACTAAACTGAGCTATCATACTTTGGACACATTATAAGAGTCAAGACTCAATGGAGAAGACAACAGTGCTACAAAAACGTTGCAAGCAACAGGAAATGAGGAAGAACTAATATGAAATCGCTTGACTCAATAAACGAAGCCATTGCCTTTAGTTTGCAAGAGTTGTGCAGGCCTGTTAATGATAGGACCTTTGGAAGGTCACTAATTTTTAGAGTCACCGTAAATCGGATGCAGCTTCAGTGCTTAGCAACAACAGAACCTTCATCCAGTCCAATTCATAGGATCAATTTCAGGAGGTATCCAGTCTATGCTCATGAAAAAAAAGTACAGTGGGGTCTCTACTTAAGAACTTAATCCATATTGGAAGGTGGTTCTCAAGCTTTGGAAGGTCACTAATTTTTAGAGTCACTGCAGATCAGATGCAGCTTCAGTGCTTAGCAACAGCAGAACCTTCATCCAGTCCAATTCATGGGATCAATTTCAGGAGGTACCCAGTCTATGCTCATGAAAAAAATAGACTGCTAAGCCTGTCCCTATTGTAGTCAATCAATCCATATTGGAAGGTGGTTCTCAAGTGGAAAAGTTCTTATGTAGAATCTGCATTTCCCATAGGAATGCATTGAAAACCATTTAATCCGTATCTGCTCTTTTCTGTCCACAGAAACTAATGGGAAGCTGCTATTCCGCGTTTTACCACTAGAGGGGGATTTTTTCTTTTTTTTCCCCTTAGGTCAGGGAACAGTGTTAAAAGCACTTCTGACGAAGCTAATTTTGAAGCAATGGACTGAAAACCAATTAATCTGTTCTGGCTGTTTTTTTTATGTAGAGGTGCGTTCATACATTGAAGGATTAGTTCCCATAGGAACTAATGCAAAGCTGGTTAATACGTACTCTACCACTAGGGGGAGAAGTTTTTTTAACCTAAGATGACCTAAGGTTAAAAAAAGAGCAGGAAAGTTTTTTTTCCTCTTCTTATCTGGATTTTTGTTCTCAAGTAGAAGCAAAATTTAGCAAATGGAGCTGTTCTTAAGTGGAATTGTTCTTAAGTAGAGACCCCACTGTATCTAGACTGCTATGCCTGTCCCTGTTGTAGTCAATTTTTGCTTGTAGATTAGCTGATTCAAAAGCAGTTGGATTGTTTCTTCATTTTTAGGATTCAAGGGAAACAGCACTTGTCCAGGCGACCCAAATTAAAGTCAGTTAGGAAACTATCAAAATATTGCACGTGGATGCTAAAGTTTCTACCGCATGGGGACTATGATTCTTACAAATTTTCCTACCCTAGGATTTTCCACTGACACCACCTTTTCCTGCAGACTCTGAACATGTTAAGTGTATGCAGTGCAGAAGCCAGACTGACTGGAGAGTCATCACAGAGTACAATCCATTTTGGAGTGGTCAGCAATTCTTTTCTTTTGAAAAGGTGACCTCAAACCATTTGGGCCAGGGGAAAAAAGAACAACGAGCTATTAAGCTGCAGCGATCAGCATCCACCAGACAAAGTTGCCAGAACGGTGACGGAGTTTAAACTCCATTCTGTTTTCTCTGTAGGCCTCCATCCTTTTACAGTATTCCCACACCGCTAAGCTGATTCCTCAGACTTGCACTCAGGAAAGGTGACTAATTTTTAAGGAAATGTGTGATATATTTGGAAAAGAGCGTGAATTCAATTCTAAAATTGCTTTGGTGTCAATTTTTGAGAAGACAGAATTTGATTATTGCTCAAAGGAATTGATTTCCAGTTTTATGACAAGTGCTAGAATATTAATAGCTAGATTCTGGGAAGATAAAAATGGTATTAAATTAGAAGATTGGTATAATGAAATATGGGACATTGCATTATGATAAATTGACTGCTGAACTGAAAATGAAAAGCGGGGAAATAAGTTCAAATATTATTTTATAATATTTGGGGTAGATTTATTGGATTTGTATTAGTG